AAAAACTTGTGAAGGACAGAGACTGTCGCAAATGGAGGTAGAAAGAAAGGGTAAAAAAGAGGCGAGGAAAAGGATAAGGGAGAAAGGGAGAAATCCCACCCACGTACTCGCGTCGTGTGACCAGGGAGGGGGGGTGGTGGAATCGTGGCGAGCGAGCTGGCTGAAAGTTCGGCCAACTGACTAGCTACAAGCGTTTATCAATTTTTAAGGCCTCAAAATCAGTTGAGGGCTTTTATTTGAAATTGAGTCACTCAATTTTGACCAGGTCAATACTATTTAATACATGATGCTTCTTAATTTTAGAGCCCTCCCACTAATTGAGGTGTTACATTTGAATTTGATTTATGATTTTGACTGGGTCAACAATTTGTTAAGGAACTCTTATTCAATTAAGATAATCAATTTTGGATTTGATTCATGATTTTTACTAGGTTAGCAATTTCTCAATTAATCGGCAGCAACCAGCCTAAAAACACTTTAGTGCCGCACATCCTCTCACTACCTAGAAAACTAATAAAGCGTCAACATGTGACACTGAAGTTTCAGTATAACACATGTGGCCACCAACATAAGAATCCCTATATAAATATGAGTTAATTAGTAGATAAGCCATAATCACACTGCCAAGAAAGCCCACCAGAACACTGCATTATAAAAAAACATACACACACCATCTTCCCACAAGTCAAACCAAATAACAAACAAAAATTATGAAATCCCAAGAACACTAACGGCGTGGCAAAGCGCGCCCAACCCTTCTAGTAATTGATGATGTCCAGTGACATTTTTGAACATGCAACCTACGAAAGTATTTTTAAACGGTTGATATTTAGTGGGACATAACCAGTAGCATAAATGATAAAACCAAAAAAACAAAGTGAATATTTTTTTCAAGGGAAGAGAACAAAGCAGAGATTCCGTTATCTACGGGAAGCCCAGAATTTACCGCCTCGAATTGCTCGCGCAGATTCTTCACCGCGCCAAAGCAGCGCACCGGGGCCCACACGCCACGTAGGAAACCACGCACGAACGGCGAACCCCACCGCTTCTTTATGGCGTCGGCTTGACTCGAGCACGCAAGACGCAACCCCCCTCCGTCCATCCCCCGTCCCCTCTGCTCCCTCCCTCCCCACCCCACCCCCAAAACCCCAATCTTTCCCCCACTCCGATCGCCCCTCGCCGGCCGCGATGGACTCCGACGACGAGCCGTGGGGAGGGAGCGACTCCGACCCCGTCGCCGTCGGGGACTACTACTACGACTGCAGCGACGGGGGCAGCGGCGGCGCTGGCGGGGGCGGCGAGGAGGAGGAGGGATCCGACTGCGCCGGCGACGACTACGAGGTCCGCGAGGAGGTCGCCTCGATGCGCGAGAAGGTCCGTCGATCGCCCCGCTTGCCGGTAGCGGCATCTGCATCTACTTGCTTGTTCCGTGGGGCGGGGCTGGGGCGCGAACGTGATGGCCGCACAGTGCTCTCGCGTGTAATCTCGGGGCTGGGTGCGGTGGCTTCCTGAATGCGCAGTGCTGGCGCCGAATTTTGGGGCGGGATTTTTGTTGCGGCGGCACGGCAGCAGCCTTCTTGGGGTTCTGCGGCGCTTGCTCTGCACCTTATCGTCAGTAGACGTTGTGGCAGCAAGTGTGATGACAGTAGGTTTCAGTGTGCCGTGCTCCTCGAAAGTGGTAGGTTTGCTGAGAGATGAATTCTGCTGTGGTGAATAGATTTCACAGATATACATACATACATACTGCACAACCGTTAGTTCTTTTACACCGCATTTCGTTGGAATTGATGCCTGCATCCTGTGCTGGGTGGTCAGTGTTTACAGAGCACAGTGGTCCGAGGGCAAGTCTGTATAGGTCTCGCCATTTTTGGCATGCTAATTGTTAAGCATGCCAGATTGCGTTGTATTCGTCAGCTGCTAGGTTTTCAGGTTCTGCAGGCGGTGTTATTGTCAAGATTATTTCCGTGGACTTTCTTGTGATATTGAGTTGAATATTTCCACAAAATGGAACCTGTGGATGTGCAGATCTATAGCACACCTGGTGACTCTTTTTTTCTTTATTATGAAACTCTGCTTTCTTGCCAGTATATCCTCTATAAGGATGTGCATGACATAACTCAGTTTTGGGATTTTGTCCTCCATGTTTCTTTTCTTTTCTGTTCTGTTGTCTTTTCATCTTATAGCTCTGAAAGTCACTAAAGAGCTTCTGTTCCTTTTCACCACAAACAGAGATACATTGTGTTATCTGAAAATGACATACATGAGCGGCAAGAGGAAGCCATAAGACGGGTATCTTCAATATTTTCAATTCCAAGAGAATCAGCATGCATCCTCCTTCGACAATACAAATGGTCAGTTATGCTGCCCAAAAATATATGTACAGCTTGCCATGTTAGATACATGAAATGAAGTCATATGTTCCAGTAGATCTTATCTCGAGTTTATTCTACTGCCCTACATTCTGTTGCAATGTACTCCCTCTGTCCGAAAAAGCTTGTCCCAAGTTTGTCCCTCAAATGGATGTATCTACCACTAGAGGGACAAGCTTTTTCGGACGGAGGGAGTACCTGAGAAGTTCATCTTGAGAAAGTTTCTGAGATTTACTAGTTTCAGTGGACATAATATGTATAACAATTTTCTATGTAAACTATGCTACATGCATATAAGTTTCTGCTTTCAAATTGTTGCAAAGGTGGAATACTTGTGAGCTGAAAAGGTAGATTCTCTATCTCAATTTTGTTCAGGAATATTAGCAAGTTGAGTGATGAGTGGTTCGCAGATGAAGAACGTGTCCGTCATTTTGTTGGCTTGCCTACAAATGGGGCTGTTCTTCCTGACTGCCAGGAGGTAGCTTTTCTTATCAGCTGGTATCATATCTGGTTAAATCAGTGAGTTAACATGTTTTAGCTCTGATGGTTCCTTTGGTTGCAGCTAACTTGTGGAATATGTTTTGAAGGATATTCCACAACTGCACTGAGCTCTGCTGGTTGTGTTCACCTCTACTGCCATGAATGTTGGGAAGGTCTATCTCTCAATATTGTTATTTCATCCACATAACCAACTTGATTAATATTAGTAATATAAACAACACATAAATGCATAAGGATCAAAACGGGGGCTCTAAACGTGTAAGAAAACAAAAATCAGCCCACTGATCAGAGTATGCCATTGTAAGTTTGTAACGCCGGTCAGGGATGAGGAATCTCACTGATGTTGGATCTATTTCCCCATCCCTATGTGCCCTATCTCTGTTAGGAAAAATATCAAGATCGCGAATATCCATAACGATGTCGTGTTTGTGCATGGCATGCGAATGTAGAGCAGCCTACTAAGCATGTTGCATGTATGTAATCATGTTATTTATTTTGATGTAGTGGGACGCATAGCTGCAATTGTGAAATTGTGACATATAGCTTACCTAACATAAGTATCAGGAGTCAAAGGATTGAAGTTGTACATTTTCTACCCACAGAGAACTAAATAGGGAACTGTTGAATTGCCAAATCCTTCTCCTTATTTGTAGTGATCAATTGAATTTCTAGTGCTAAAAATAAGGTAACTATTTCAGGGTATATTAGTGCTTCAATAAATGATGGTCCAGGATGTTTGTCACTGCGGTGCCCTGAGCCATCTTGTACTGCCATGGTTCTTGAAGAAACCATTAATAGATTGGCTAAAGATGAGGAGAAAGTGAAGTACAAACAATTTTTATCATGCTCATACGTTGAAGATAACAAGAAGGTAATTCCTTGAAGCAGCCTAGAACTTTTCTTGTTTGTAAGCTACCGGTTTTAAGGATGATATGCGTTTAAGAGTTCATTTTATGTCATCTGTATCCTATGGTTTCTGAAATTTATTTATGATATCATGTTAATATTCAGATAAAATGGTGTCCAGCTCCTGATTGTACCCGCGCTGTGGAGTTTCTTGGTGATGAGAACTATGATGTCTCATGCATGTGCAAATTCAGCTTCTGCTGGAACGTCGGTATCTTGTTTTGGTTTAATCTCTTGCCATATCTGGTTGTTTTATTGTAATAATCCAAAAGCTTATTATTGCAATGCTACCTTTTCCAAATATATGCAGTGTACAGAGGAAACTCATCGACCAGTTAGCTGTGAGACTGTCTCAAAGTGGATATTAAAGAACAGTGCAGAATCTGAGAACGTGAATTGGTTCGTTATAACACACAATTTCTTTGTTCCATAATATATTTCAGTTCTTTGTTTATAAGGCAGTGCGACCTAAGGCAAGCACCAACCACCCTGACGCCTAAGCCCCTAATGCGGATGCCTAAGCGCCTTGCCGCCTAAGCGTCCAAGGCGGGATGCCTTGTAAACAATGTTTCAATTATTGCTAGTGTTTCATTGTGGAGTAAAGTGCATTGGGTGTAAAGGTGGGTTGGTTCCGGTACTTGAAAAATGGAAGTTAGTCCTAGTGGTGCATTAAGTTACTTTTGTCCTGCTAGTCCAGTATGTATAGGTTTGCTCTTGTGGTGCCTTCACCCTTGCCACAGAGGTGAATAAAATAGGAGTGGCCTGCAGCGAGTTCAACATGGACACATGGTGTGCTCTAGCCAACACCATGGTCGAATGTATTAGCTTGTAGCAGTGGAGAGCAAGGACCGAAGCGACTATGCGAACATCGTTACCAAACTATGGGCCTGCAGAAAGCCAAAGCAGGGGATGCTCTGGATCTAATGGGGCCTCGTGATGCTTTGGAGAAGGGACTCACTGGAACGGCAGGCATGTGTCAAGGTTTAATGCTGGACATGTCCCGCATTTGATGGAAGTGACAGGGACAAGCTCTCATCCGACATGGCTCGGGTCAAAGCGCTATGTGGGCTGTCAAAGGCCATCTATTATAGTCTTTGTCAGAACCTCTGGTTACTCGCTTAATGCACGTTGTTGACTAGAACATGCAGTTTTGTAGTACGGGACCTATGACACAACAGTTTGTGTAATGACTCATTTTAATTTCTGCATACATATAAAAAACTATCTCTGAAGTGATTCATTTTTCCAGGATAATAGCTAATTCAAAGCCTTGTCCTAAATGCAAACGACCAATAGAGAAGAATCATGGTTGCATGCATATGACGTGCCGTCCTCCTTGCAAATTTCAGTTTTGCTGGTACACTCCCATCTCCTGAGCTTATTTATTTTTGTACCCTCTGTTTTGCTGATGAAAATTGGACGTTTTGCATGTAATATCTTTGGTCTCATGCTCTTATATCATCACAGGTTATGTCTAGGTGACTGGTCAGAACACGGAAGTAGGACCACTGGTGGCAATTATGCCTGCAATCGCTATGAAGCAGACAAGAAGAAAGGCATAGTATGTTCTTTTTTGGGCATTATCCTTCTCTGTATCGAGGAAGAATCACATTCCTTGGTTTGATCCCAAAGTGCATAGCTTGCTATTGGCCAGATATTGCAAAGCGAGCCCGGTCTATTGGGTCCCTTCTAAAAATAATAATTAAAAAGCTCATTGGAAGTTAAAAAAAGGCTGATTTTCCCTCACAAGTACGGATGCACTATTAGTATGTACCTGTAAATTTTCATAAAGAAATATGTTTATTTGAGGGCTACCCAAAAGACACACATATGTGGGTCTATATAATACTCCACAATTTTTCACTATCATAGGGTCACAATCTTTTTTTTGTGCACCCCACAAATGAAAATATCTACTAAAAAAATTACAAGTATGTAGATCACACCAATATGTACACATGGGAATTTTTTTCCAAATTTTTCTGAAACTTCAATATATGTTTTATTTATTTATTTCGGGATCCAATAGATCCAGGATCCAAATGACCGTTCTTGCTACTGGAATGCTACTCAATTATGTGGTTTCTTGACTCTATTTACTGCTGCCAACTACAGTTTGTTGTTACTTTCCCTGTTTATTTATGTCATGTTCTTTTCTTTTAGTATGATGAAGCTGAAGCACAGAGAGAACGGGCTAAAAACTCACTTGTGAGATACACGCATTATTTTGAGCGCTGGGCATCCAATCAGAAGGTACATTCTTCAGGATCCTGTTGCAGCCGTTTCATTATCTGAAATTCTGAATTTTCCCAGGACATGCTTGTACAGTGTCCTGTATAACTGTAGACAAGACAAGTCCACATTTTCAACCCTGAACTCTAGCCAGGATTTGATATTCAACTCTGCACTACGAAACCACCTAGAACACAACCGTTGACTATACAAACCATCTACTTCACCTCCTACGACCCTCTCCACTCTGATTTTGGCCCAACTTAGATGCTACTACATGGGATCCTCATTGTTAACTGATGAAGCCTTGTCAGCGGTGGATCCCACGTGATTTCAGTAGTCCCTTTTGTCATTACCAAGTTCACCACTTGACATGTTGCACTAACTGATTAAAAATTCGGCGGGTGGGGGTGGGGTGGGGTGGGGGGGTGGGGGTTATTATTATTATTAAAACAAGTGCATGTATGTCCCGTGTGCTTGTTTTATCCCCATAATGTATTAAGAGTCCCAGGATCTAATTTTACATCTCTGCTTGTAAGTACCAGATCCATCTCTTATGTTCTTGCCAAGTCAATTATTTCCTTTCCTCTAAACTCATCTGAGGAATTTTCTTGTGATTTTACATTTCTTCTTTGTGGTGTTCAGAGTTTATTTCATTTTCTATTAGTGTTTACTACAAAGTATGCATTGTTTGATTTATGGGGCACGAGTTTCTGTATATGATGCCTTGGGTGCTTACTTTTTGGTTCTTGCCTGTTGACAGTCGAGGCAGAAGGCACAAGGAGATCTGCAAAAGTTCGAAAGTGAAGTAAGTATTTAAAACCTTACATTGTGGCATCCATCCTTCCTCTTAAAAATACAGTGTCATGCACCCAATATTTGTCTGTCAGTGCACAAGTCTGTTGCTATTGTCTCCAATGAGTAGAATTTTTTACTGAAAAGGATGTATGATTGCCACTCCTTTTAGTTTTGGGTTCTGCATTTCAAGTCTTCTTCTTTTCCACACATTTATCATACTTGTGCTTGACTATTTGTTCACACTCTAGCTTGCGAAGCTCAGTGACATTCTTGGAATACCGGAGTCTCAACTAAAGTTCATACCTGAAGCTTGGTCACAGGTTAAATATCTTATAATGCCCATAAACTGGAGAAAGGCTCTATACTTTTAACATAGCCTTCCTTTTTCTGACACGCCTACCCTATCATCCTTCACTATGACAGATTGTAGAATGCAGACAAGTGCTGCAGTGGACATATGCTTATGGGTATTATCTTGATGATAAAGCCAAGAATGATTTTTTTGTGTACCTCCAAGGTAGAAGGTTTTAAGCTTGCAGCTTAAGGTTTATCGCATAATTGACATGGCCATACATCTGGAAATTTTGTAGGTGAAGCCGAGTCTGGTTTGGAGCGCCTCCATAAATGTGCGGAGAAGGACATACATGCAATTTTACCTAAAGCTGGTGAAACTGAACCTCTTCCTTCATTACAAGACTTCAATGAGTTTCGTGTGAAACTTGCTGGTCTAACAAGGTATTCCGGGGATGTCTCTGATCACTACTGACATTTGCAGTTACATACAGTATTTTTTTGTGTGTGTGACCAAGTTACTAACTTGTGCTAATTTAGCCTCTCTTGCTCTCTCTGTTTATCCTGTCAAAGGTCCTTATTTAGCTGACTTTTGGCCATTCTTTTTCTTCTCAATTTGAACTTTATGGTGATGATTTTTGTACCATTCCGAGCGAAGATCCATATGGGCATCATGTGATGTTGCAGGAGTTATGTGGCCTGCATTGCATTTTGAGTGGATGTTAGGTCAATGATGCTGCTCCACTTATAACCTTGCTCTCGTTTCACTGAAGTTTGTATGCATTATGCCATGCATAATTGTACCGACATCTCGTGTAGGCTCACCGTGCTCTCCAATTGCTGAATTTTACTTCCCATTCTGTACTGCACGAGTCTCGTATCAATGAATATGGTAACTAAATTAATTTTAAAGAGCAGTGGCTAAGCTGAAACCATTTTTGTGTTACAGCGTAACCCACAACTACTTTGAGAACCTTGTTCAAGCACTGGAAGCAGGGCTGGAGGATGTGCGTGTTACGGGCGGCCAGTCGACTTCGAAGAAGAAAGCCCGCACCGCCTCCAAGAGGAAACCATCCGCCAAAGGCAAGGCGGGCAGGAATAAGAAGGCGAGAATAACCTCTTAACATTCAGGTGGAGGTTGGCCCTGCGAGCGCTGCTGCGCCTTTAGTCGACCCGTCTTCGCAGATATCATCTGCGATGGTCCGGTGGTAGAGGTAGGCAGTTAGGGATAGGGGGCAGGGGCGATGCAGTGGCCCCTGGCCAGAATATGTATAGTGAGTCCGGATGCTTGTTCCGCCCAGGCATTCTGGTGCCATGGACGTGAAGCGCTGTACAGGTAGCAAAGGATGCAATCCTGCCATTTAGCTGGATATAGAGTGCGTACTTGTTTTTTCTTTTTCTTTTACTGTGTCTAATTGAACAGTATTGCTATGGTTTTCGGTCGTGACATGGTGGTAAATATGATACCAGGTATAGAGAGTGAATTTGGCGTGCACAAAACACACTGCTTTGGTAGCAGCTACGCATTTTTGCGTGACAATCTACCCCTTTTTATTTCTTTCTGAAAGTTAGGGTGTTTGTATATGTTGGAAAGGGGGCAGTACAGCGACGACAAGAGGGAGGGGATGGTGTACGCTGCTGATGTCTTTGCCCAATGTGTAGACCTGGCGTTACACATTGGACATGTGAAATTTGAGTACGACCCCGTGAAGCCTACCCAACATATATGATTGTGGTGATTTTCTTTTCATTTTCATGTGTGTTGGGGTTGTAATAGCGTGTTAGCTATTTTCCGAGAATTTTGCTCGTGTCGTCGATTCTTGCGTGGAGGAGCAACGTAGCCCAAGGCTGAGGAGGAGGTCCTGGCTCGGACGGAGGAAGACGAAGGCTAGCCGTTGGACTGAGGAAATTCACAGAAATCAATTCTTTTATTAGTTAATACTCCCGCTATAACTTTATAAGATGCTTTTACACTGTCATGGACTCTGAAAACGTCTTGTAAAAAGTTACAGACATAGTAACTGATAAGTAGGTGGCCCTATGTAACGATGGAACCAGAGAAAGACCAAGAAACAGGACATGGAGTACACCCAGGAGCAAATGCTCCAGGTGTGAACAGTAAAATCAAATAAATTCAAAAGTAATTCAAAAAATTCTGAATTTTTTTGTGGCATACTTTCACAAGTGTTTGTCGTGCATGCAAAATTTCATTGCAAAATGTTACTTACAAAAGCATTTTGGAGCTCTGAAAATGTTAATTACAAAAGCATTTTGGAGCTCTGATTTTTTTGACATGCCTTCCACCAATGTGATTTCACGATGAAATTTTGCATGCACAGCAAACATTTGTGAAAGTAAGTCATAATTTTTTTTTCCATTTTTTGATTTTACTGTTCACACTAGCTCCTCGGGGTAGAAAGGTACTTTCGCAAGAAACAATGCTCTTGCGTTCTTTTGGGCGACACATTGCACGACCAAGTTGTTTATCAGTTCAACCAAAACTTGCTCATCCATTTTTATGTTATCTTCTTCTCCTCGGCCAACTAGTATCGGTTCACGCTACCCAACGGCACATGACAACTTGGGGCAGATATATGATATTATTATGATTCTGAAACCAAAGCAAAGCCAAGCCCAGGCGTGGCTATGTCAGCCTCCGCTCTCCGGTCCAGATTCCGATCACCATCGCCATCGATCGATCGGCATGGCCGCGGCGACGGTGCATCATCGCCCGCAGCTGCAGTCGAGGAACGTGTGCGTGGTGGGGGGCGGCATGGCCGGCCTGGCGTCGGCGCGCGAGCTGCGGCGAGAGGGCCACGCGGTCACCGTCATGGAGCAGAGCGGCGACGTCGGCGGCCAGTGGCTGTACGACCCGGGGACAGACGGCCGCGTGCCCAGCAGCGTGTACGCGTGCCTCCGCCTCCTCAGCCCGCGGGAGGCCATGGGCTTCTCCGACTTCGAGTTCCTCCCCAGGGCCGGCGCCGGCCGCGACCCGCGCCGCTTCCCCGGCCACCGCGAGGTGCACAGCTACCTCAGGGACTTCTGCCACGCGTTCGGGCTCATGGACGCCGTCAGGCTCAACACCCGGGTCCTGCGCGTCGCAATCGCGGATCCGACGTCGGCGGCGACGCGTCAGTGGGCGGTGAGGTCCGTGCGGCGCCTCGGCGGCACGGAGGATGATGCGCGGGAGGAGGAGGAGGAGGTGTTCGACGCGGTGGTGGTGGCCACCGGCCAGTACTCGCAGCCGATGCTCCCGAGCGGCATCGAGGGCATGGCGGAATGGAGGCTTCGGCAGCTACACAGCCACTCGTACAGGACGCCGGAGCCGTTCCGCGGCGAGGCGGTGGTGGTGGTCGGTTGCCGGGACAGCGGCAAGGACATCGCGTTGGACCTCTGCCGCGTCGCCAGGGAGGTGCACCTCGCCGCCAGCTCCGAGGCCGCCGCGCCCACACCGGCCGTGTCAGAGATGCTGGCCAATCACGGCGACGTGCTGCGCCTCCACCCGCGGGTACGCCGGCTGCACGCGGACGGGCGCGTGTGGTTCGAGGACGGCTCCTCTGTCGTCGCGGACACCGTGATCTACTGCACGGGGTACGGCTACTCGTTCCCGTTCCTGGACACGGGCGGGGCGGTCACCGTGGGCGACGGCGACTGCGTGGTCGGGCCGCTGTTCGAGCACGTGTTCCCGCCGTCCCTGGCGCCGTCGCTCTCCTTCGTGGGCGTGCCGAGGAAGGTCCTGCTGCCGTGGTTCTTCGAGGCGCAGGCGAGGTGGGTCGCGCAGGCGCTGTCCGGCCGCCGCGCGCTGCCGCCGGAGGCGGAGATGCTGCGGGCCGTGGAGGAGCACTTCCGCGCCAGGGAGGCCGCCGGCGAGCCGAGGAAGCACACCCACCACTACATCGGCGGCATCGACGTAAGCACATTACATAGGCACCCATTCCATCGATCGATTACGTTTGAGTTTATCCAATTTCATGTTCGATAAGAAAATGTTCGAGTTTGGGGAGAAGTACGGCGACTTGACGCCGATGGAGGACTGGAAGAAGGAGCTGGTCCTGTCGAGCATGGCGAGCATGAGCGACGACCTGGAGACCTTCCGCGACCGCGCCGACGACAGCGAGAACGTCCAGAAGGGCGTCCGGCGATGGCGCGGCGGCTTAGCTGCTCAAGCTCAGGACAAAACCGTGGCCGCTGCTGCTGAAGTTGAAGGTGATTGGCAGGCCATGGCTAAGAAAGAAAGAAACTCCTCAACTGAATTGAACTGCACCTCTTCGAGTATCAGTAAGGGTATGTTTAACGCACATCTAAACTGATGTTCACTTTGTTTGTGGTCTTTTTTTTGTTCCAGTTTTTTTTTGTTTCTTGTTGCTGCATTATATATTCATGAAAGCTTAAATATGACATCCTTAAAAAACATCTAGATGTGAATTAGACAAACTGTATCAGTAAACTTCCCCGGTGAGTATCCAAAGATTTGATTGCCACATAGAGATTTTGCTCGATCGCCTACAGAATTGAAATTTCATCCAGATCGAGCGTGGGATTAGGGATTCACGATCTGGATGCCATAGAAATAGCGCACTGTAAATGTGTAGGCTAGTTAGAGTGGATGGAATATTTACCATAAATGCTACACACACGTACCCCCGCCTCAACTTTACGGACCCACTGAGTTGTCTTGTTCTTTTTTTTACAACAAATAGACTTTATTTCTCATATGATGGTCATATCGTATAGAAGTAAATGAGAAACAAAATTAGGGATTACATCATCCCAAGACCTGGAAGATCTAGCACTAGAAGAATGCTTAGCTAGCTCATCTCCTACTCAAGTAGCTTCCAGGAAACAGTGTTTAAATGATATTTTGGCAAAATCCATTGCCAACTGCCTGCACTCAGAGACCAATGCAACACCGGGTCTTAGATAAGAGTCCATTGTTGAATTGCTTCCACCGCAAACGAGCAATCAGATTCCACCTCCACATTGTTGCACCCCAAATTTGCCAACAAGTATATTCCATTTCTAATTGACATGAGCTCTACTGAATCAACATCTCAGATACGTGGAAGAAACCAAGTCGCTGCTGCTAGAAAGTCACCCCGTTCATCACGCATGACAGCACCCCAAACTTCAGATAAAGTATGACGCATCTACATTAACCTTGACCAGTCCATGAGACGGTTTTTGCCACATATGTTTTTTCTTCGAGTCGGGAGCTTTGGAGGCATCGATTTGATGTAATTTGTAGCTAGGACGCGAATAGAAAGTGTTGTTTTCTCAGGATTTTGAATCACGATTCCTTTCACAAGTTGTCGCCTTTGCCATCAAAGGTACCACGCCGCCACAACAACCAGTTTGGCCACAGGTAATCCATCCGAAACAGCATCAAGTTTTGATAAGATCTTCATAGTGATTGAGCCTAATCTGTCCTCATCAGTTGCTCTTTGAATGGTATCTAGAAATCCCAGCTGAGACCACACTTCTTTCACATGACGACATTTAAAGAGACAGTGCTGCTAGTCTTCAGCACCCACCAAGCAGCATGGGCATTGGGGTGAACAAGGTATGTGTCGAGCTGCCAAAACTCCATAACAGAGTAGGCCTCCATGTAGCATCTCCAAGCAAAGTGTTTGACTTTCCCAGGCACATGTAACCGCCATATATCTTTCCAAATATGATTAATATGCTCACTACCCTCGCCATCTGGCCTTGTTAACCAGGAACCAAACTGATGTTCTAGCTCACTATAATATGTAGACCGGACCGAAAACGTGCCAGAATGGGTATGCAATGGGATTTGTAAGATTCTTTGAACATCCATCGGCGAGAATACACCAGAATGTGGGTCAATGAGTTCTACCTTAGACAACATAGTACCACCCCTAGGTGTAATAACTTTTTGCGATACGCTTGCATGAATCCATGGGTCTTGCCATATACTCCCTCCGTCCCAAAATTCCTGTCTTAAATTTGTTTAGATACGGATGTACTTACTAAAACGTGACTTGATACATCCGTATTTGGACAAATCTAAGACAAGAATTTTGGGACAGAGGGGGTATTTATTTGAGATCCAGAGCCAACCCTCCATATGCACCCTCGCTGAAAAGTTTGAATACCCGCTTCGATACTCTGCCAAGTGTAAGACGACCCTTTCTTAGGTCCAACTTCGTATATTTCCATCTGGATAGTACTCCCTCCGTTTCTTTTTACTCCACGTATAAGTTTTGGTCAAAGTCAAACTACACAAAGTTTGACCAAGTTTATATTAAAAAATATAAACATCTACAATACTTAAACTATATAATATGAAAATACATTTCATGGTGCATCTGAAAATGTTGATTTCATATTGTGAATGTTGATAATTTTTTAATATAAAGTTAGTCAAAACTATGCAAAACTTGACTTTGACCAAACCTTATATGCAGATTCAAAAGAAACGGAGGGAGTATTTAGCATGTAGGACTTGTGCACACAAAGAGTTTGGGTTTTGTATCGGAACACTATTTTGGATCAGTCCATAGCAGGAGTTGTCCTGTTTCAGTTGGTATAATTAATCTCCTTCTCCTAATTAACCGCCCCCTAATCTTAACTGGTGGGCTGGGCGCCTAGCCCCGTAAACCTCCCGTAACTGTCCGTCGATGCAACAAAGCTCAATATGAACTGGAGAAACCCTAGAGCTACGGGGGATTTTTTATGAGTTTCTGGGGCAATGCTACATGTACGAAAGCTTACTGAGACTTCTATGTAAAAGCTGATGTGGAGGGCGATTAATTGGGCCAGAATTAGCGGCTGGGGCCCACCCCATGAAATACAGGGGCCGAGAAGATTTGTTTGGAAGGTTACGTATGCCTTCGTAGTCTATTCGTATATGTAGGTTTATCGAGTTTAAGGGCATCCTCAGCGCCCACCCTCAAACAGTCCGGAATCGTCCGGACATGGACATCCAACGTGGTTCTGTATTGGTCCGTTCGACGGTTCAGATGTACTTTTCCCGCAAACCGGAGACAAACTGGGGGGTGGGGGGGGGGGCTTTGCGGGCGTCCAAACCACTGCCACGCCTGCGTCTAACTGCGCTGCATCAATGTCAAACCAGACCATGTACCGGCCGCATTGGTGCCACGTGATGTGACCGGACGTAGGGCGGCGCTGACCGACGTGGCCTCTCTGAAGCCGCCACTACATTGCAGACACAGCTTCCCGAGGAACCAACTCTGGCTGGTGCGCCGTATTGAAGCGGCTGACTGTCCGTTCACATGGCCTGGACGGGGCCATCGTCCTCATCAGCTGTCGGCTTCTCGGTGAAGGAGAAGATCGTCAGCTCCTCTGGTGACGAGGAGGACCAGCCGACGCAGCAGCCGGTGACGCAGGACGTGGTCTACACCACCCGACACTAAAATATATTCTCTATTAGATATATCTCAGTTGCTTGAGAAGTTTGTCATGTCACTCGGTTCTTGCGTAGAGGAGAGCAACGCAGCCCGAGGCTGGTAGGCCGAGCCATGACCTCACGAGGGTCGAGGTGGTGGCTCGGCTGGAGGAAGATGAAGGCTAGCCGTTGGATTGAGAAAATTGACAGAAATCAATTTTTTATTAGTTAATACTCCATCCGTCCTAAAATAAGTGTCTCAAGCTTAATATAACTTTATACTAGAGTTAGTACAAAGTTGAGACACTTATTTTATGACGGCAGTAACTGATAAGTAGGTGGCCCTATGTAACGATTGAGCCAGAGAATGGCCAAGAAACAGTGCTCTTGCGTTTTTTTGGACGACACATTGCATGACTAAGTTGTTTATCAGTTGATGTAAAAAAAAAGTTGTTTATCAGTTCAACCAAGACTTCCATTTTTATGTAATCTTGTTCTTCTCCTTGGCCAACTAGTATCGGTTCACGCTACCAAACGGCACATGACAACATGGGGCAGATACGATATTAGAACGATGCTATATCAGAAATCTTATTTTACAGTTGGTAATCCACCGATCTCCTTGTCAGTCTCCACTCTCCGGTCCAGATTCCGATCACCATCACCATCGACCGATCGTCATGGCCGCTGGCGACGGCGAGCCGGACCCGGCGGTGCAGCAGCGTCCGCAGCTGCAGTCGAAGAAAGTGTGCGTGGTGGGCGGCGGCATGGCCGGCCTGGCGGCCGCGCGCGAGCTGCGGCGAGAGGGCCACGCGGTCACGGTCATGGAGCAGAGCGGCGACGTCGGCGGGCAGTGGCTGTACGACCCGACGACCACCCACGGCGTCGTGCCCAGCAGCGCGTACGCGTGCCTCCGCCTCCGCACCCCGCGGGAGGCCATGAGCTTCTCCGACTTCCAGTTCCTTCCCAGGGACGGCCCCAGCCGCGACCCGCGCCGCTTCCCCGGCCACCGCGAGGTGCACTTCTACCTCCGGGACTTCTGCGCCGCGTTCGGGCTTATGGACGCCGTCAGGCTCAACACCCGGGTCGTCCGCGTCGCTCCGACGTCGACGACGACGCGTCAGCGTCAGTGGGCGGTGAGGTCCGTGCGGCTCCTCGGCGGCCCGGACGATGATGCGCGGGTAGAGGAGGAGGAGGAGGTAGTGTTTGACGCGGTGGTCGTGGCCACCGGTCAGTACTCGCATCCGATGCTCCCCAGCGACATCGAGGGGGTGGGGGAATGGAGGCGCCGGCAGCTGCACAGCCACTTGTACAGGACGCCGGAGCCGTTCCGCGGCGAGGCGGTGGTGGTGGTCGGGTGCGGGGACAGCGGCACGGACATCGCGCTGGACCTCCGCCGCGTCGCCAGGGAGGTGCACCTCGCCGCCAGCTCCGAGGGAGCCACGCCGGCCGTGTCGAGGATGGTGGCCAACCACGGCGACGTGCTGCGCCTCCACCCGCGGGCACGCCGGCTGCACGCCGACGGGCGCGTGTCGTTCGCGGATGGCTCCTCCGTCGTCGCCGACACGGTGATCTTCTGCACGGGGTACGGCTACTCGTTCCCGTTCCTGGACACGGGCGGGGCGGTCGCCGTGGGCGACGACGGCTGCGTGGTCGGGCCGCTGTTCGAGCACGTGTTCCCGCCGTCCCTCGCGCCGTCGCTCTCCTTCGTGGGCGTGGCGAGGAAGGTCCTGGTGCCGTGGTTCGTCGAGGCGCAGGCGAGGTGGGTCGCGCAGGCGCTGTCCGGCCGCCGCGCGCTGCCGACGGAGGCAGAGATGCTGCGGTCTGTGGACGAGCACTTCCGCGCCAGGGAGGCCGCCGGCGTGCCGAGGAAGCACACCCACCACCACATCGGCGGCATTGACGTGAGAACAGTACATAGACATTGATCCCTGATTACGTTTGACTTGATCCAATCACATCCATGATCCATCCCCTTTTGCGTTGGATCAGAAAATGATCGAGTTCATGGAGGAGTACGGCGGCCTGACGCCGATGGAGGACTGGAAGGAGGAGCTGCTGCTATCGAGCATGGCGAGCATGTGCGACGACCTCGAGACCTTCCGCGACCGCGCCAACGACGGCGAGAACGTCCGGAAGGGCCTGCAGGGATGGCGCGGCGGCTTAGATGCTCAGGCTCAATACAAAACCATGGATGCTGCTGCTGAAGCTGATGGGTTGGCCATAGATGATTAAGCTCCTGCTCAGCCGAATTGAACTGTTGCACAAGAGGTTCGGTGGGAGATTCAGATTCGTTCCCTTCTTTTTTAATATAAAATTGAAAAAGAAAATATGGTGGTAACAAAGTGAGTTTGCTCGATCATCTATAGAACTGAGCTGAAATTTGAGCCAGATCGGAGGAGTGATTAGTGATTCACGGTGTGGATGGCAGAGAAATACCGTACCATAAAATGTGTAAGTTAGAGGATGGAATATTTGCACGCCTTGTGACGGTGAAGGGGCAATTTTTTTTTCAACCACAGATTTTTTTACTTATTTTAAAAAAAAGAGAGTAAATATCATATATTAAAGTCGATTAGCTCTCAGAAGATCATCATTATGTGAGAACGCATAGAAAGTTTGGTCTCGGTCTGATTACCTCGGCTGACGTGGTGCCATTTTGTTTTGTGCCGATTTTAAACTAGTACATTTTCTTTGTCGCTCAGCCACCCGCTCGCTCGTTCGGTGGTTCCCCTCGTCTGGGTTGTTTATTTGGGCTGGGCTAGATCCGCTCAAAGCCGATCCAAAATACTTTTGGGCCTGGGGCGAAGTAAAAAATAATTGTCTTTTATACTAAATTTTAATACTTATTTTAAACTAACTGTATCATATTACAGTTATAATTAATATATATTTTTATTTCTTAGTCACATAAAACATTTTCAAATAATAATTGTATTATTCATTTGTATGCAGTTGTAATGTATTATCATTGAAAATTTTCATTCTACAAAATGAAAATTTTAAGATGTACCAATTTTTTCTTTATTGTTAAAACAATCTTTCAGATTTATTTTTCAAATATTGCATAAAGGATGTAGTGTATACACATTTGCATATGTATGCGTGTGTTCATATATCTTTTGATATTATTAAATATTATTGTAGAGATTTTTAAATTATATACACCATAACAAATATTTTAATAGTGGTTTCTAGTGTATATGAGGTAGTCATATTCATGGAAACTTTTAAGGGCGTAGAAAATGTGGCTTTCAAATTGGGTTTAGTAATAGAATCATCAAAAAACAAAAATGTTGTTGATTGTATTTTTACGTGTGATTCTATTACTTAACATGCTCGTCCGGATTCACATGATTTGGTTTCGTACAAATGAGATGCATGCACACTTATCAAATTATAATTTGGGTATTGGTTTAAAAATATAAATCTACTTATCATAATTTTCATATGATACTAAGACATGCATTGTAAAGAGACACTAATGTATTTGAACTCAACTTGGCCAGTCGGATTGGTTTGCCTATGTGTGGTATAACTTATTAGTATATGGTGTGAACTTACGCTTCTGCAGATTGAGACTCTATTTTATCCATTTAATAATCTTTCAGATGTAATGTATACTTCCATAGTTCTTACTAACATAAGTTATAGTTGGGGCCCTCTCCTCTTGGGGCCCGGGGCGGTTGCCCCTTTTGCCCGACCTATGGGCCGGCCCTGGATCCGCTTGGCTATGTAATTGCTTTTTTGGGCTTCGTTGGACTTGGCTTTTTAATGCTGCCTGGGTCCGTCTTTCTCTCTCTCCTTGTATGACAGTCTGATGCAGATGTTTTTCTTTCAAACAACAGTGTGTTCTTCTAGAAAAAAAAGTGTGTTGGTTTCTCATGGGAAATAACGGAGTTGTGTTCTATGTGTGGAAAGTAGCTAGTGCGCGCATGCTAGTGAATATAATTTGATAAAATGAAGCACAAAAATAGGCCAAAATAGAAATTAAAATGTTCTATAAAATGTGGAAGATAGAATCTACATATGTGATGTGAAGATAAAAGATGTACAAGTTGTAAACCCTTCATGCTCCCCATTTGCAGTCACTTTGTGCGCGTGTAGTTGTAGCCAGGTTACAATGATTATAGTTGCATGTGTAGTGATGTACATGCAACTGGACCAATAACCCTACTTTTGACCATAGTTGCAGTCACTTTGTGCTCATGCAGTTACAGGTGGGGTGCTACGCTTGAAGTTGCATGTCTATTGGTGGACATACAACTGGCACGACAACCCCCTCCCCACCTCACTTGCAGTCGATTTGTGCCCATGCAGTTGCAGTTGGGTTACAATGCTTGTAGTTGCATGTCTATTGGTGACATGTAGTTGGCACGACAACCCCTCCCCGAGCTTAGTTGCAGTTGCTTTGTGCCCATGCAGTTGCATTCAGGTTATAACACTTGCAGTTGCATGTCTAGTGGTGGACATGCAACTAGCCCGGAAACACCCCTCCTGACTCTAGTTGCAGTCGCTTTGTGCCCATGCAGTTGCAATCAGGTTAGAACGCTTGTAGTTGCATGCCTAGTCATGGATATCCAACTGCACAGGACAACCCCGCCCCCTGACCCCAGTTGAAGTTGCTTTGTGCTCATGCACTTGCAGTCTTGTTACAACGCATGCAGTTGCATGTCTAACGGTGGACATGCAACTAGCTGAGACAACCCTCCTCCTCCCCGACCCTAGTTGCAATCGCTTTGTGCCCATATAGTTACAGTCGGGTTACAATGCTTATAGTTGCATTGACGTAAAAAAAGTCTCAGACAAAACAGTGAGACGATACAAAAAACTCACGGGCCGACAAGCTTAAGGCAGAAGGCATGCATGTGAAAGTGTGAGCTAGTACATGGGCCACACAAAAAAACCGAAATACGCCCAAGGGATGGTGCAGTTGCAACCCCGTTGAAAGGTTGCAATTGCGACCCATTTAAAAACTTGCAGTTGCGACCCCTTGAATATATGCATTTGCGATCTTGTTTAATATTTTTAGTTGTGACATCTCTTAAAAACTTGTAGTTGTGACCTGATGAGGATACAGACCTGGGGTAGGGTCATAGGCCTGACCTATATGTCCTACCCAAGGTCACTACCCTAGAAGATAAGAAGTCCAAGAGGCAACGAAGAACCCAGAGTCAAAGGTGTCGAGTGCAATCTACTCGACCAATCATATCACTCAGATACCCCTCCTACTTGTTGTCGCTCGACCATACAAGGAATCACTCGACCTACCAAAGATTAGGAGTCACTCAGCATTGCAATGGTCAGGCGTTCACTCCGTAGTCTTTAAGGTCATTAATAGCACTTAAGACTGGCGTTATCAGTAATGCCCCTACTTTATGTACATTAAGCCCCTTGTAATGGAGGATGGATGGGGTCCTGGCGCACTCTATATAAGCCACCCCCTCCTCTGGGACAAGGGTTCGCACCCCCTATAACATCACACACATATAATCCAATCGACCGCCTGTCGTGGTTCTAAGTCTGACAGTAGAAAGGGGGTAGGAATGGAGAGGCAAGATCTTAGCTATGGAGAAGATGTAAACACGAGGTTTACGAGTTCAGGCCCTTCTCGAAGGAAGTAATAGCCTTATGTCTCGGTGCCCAGAGGCGGTCGATTGGATTATGTGTGTTGTATTACAGAGGGTGTGAACCCTTGTGCCAGAGGAGGGGGGTGGCTTATATAGAGTGCGCCAGGACCCCAGCCCATCTCCATTACAAGGGAACTAATGTACATAAAGTAAGGGGCGTTACTGGTAACGCCAGCATTAAGTACTCTTAATGCTCATGAAGACTAAGGAGTAAATATCTGGCCGTTGCGTGCTCTTCCGACTCCTGGTCTTCGATATGGTCGAGCGGCCTTCCTTGTGGTCGAGTGACGGTAGGTAGCGACCATCGAGTGATGTGACCGTCGAGTGGATTGCACTCAACGTATAAGACTGGCGCTCTTCTATTGACTCTTGGTCTTTCCGTCTTCCAGGGTAGTGACCTTGGGTAGGACGTATAGGTCGAGCCTATGACCCTACCCCGGGTCTGTATCCTCGTCAATAGCCTATGAATGGATTAAGGTGTGAGAGGAAAGTAAGACAAAGTTGGACCTGTCCTGCGGTTTGTGTCTCCGCGAGTGTTTCCTGCTAGACTGAACACCTGCGTTGGTACTTCGGTGTCGACTCGGTTGCCTTGATCCATTCAGAGAGTTGTCGATTGAACTGGTGGCCTCATGCGTCGAGTGTCGCGTTGGAGTGCAAGATCTCGGGTGCGATTGCCCGCGGGGAATCCCGGATTCCGCAGGATACGAAATTCTGGGGGTGCGCGCGGGCAGGAGGGCGCCGAAAAAAGGGGGACCCGGATAAGCAGCGATGCCTCAATCATCGCGCCGCCTTTTTCGCCATGTTCGCTGCGCGCAACTCTAGTAGGATTTGACGGGTGCCCGGCCCCACGCGTCAGTCACTCGGAAGTGATCCTTTATAAGGCGACGGGGCCGGGGTGCTTGCACTGTGCACGCCTGCCTCTTCTTCTTTCTTCTCTGCTCCTCCATCGCGTCAAGCGCCCCGCCTCCGATACCGCTGCTTTCTCACCATGGTGAAGGACAAGACGGCGGCGCTAGAGCGCGCCAAGAAGGCAACGGGGGAGGCGAAGGGCAAGAAACCGAGCCGTGGATCGTTATCACGCTCGGGGTTGCCGTCGGGTTGGATCCAAGGTGATTGGATCCGGTCTTTGATCCGGCAGGAGGATCTGACCGACCTGGAGGAGTCCGGGCTGATTGCAGTGGGGGCGGCGAGGCTGCCGAAGGGAGAGACGGAGCCACAACCTCGACCGGGTGAGTGTGTCTTGCTTGCCACTCATGTCGACCGGGGCTTCTCGCTTCCTCCGCACCCTTTCTTCCGTGGGTTTTTGAACTTCTTCGGGGCACAACTCCACCACTTTTCCCCCAATACCATTACGTATCTAGCCGCATTTGTGTCGATGTGCGAGAACTTCTTAGGGTGCTAACCGCACTGGGGTCTATTTAAACACATCTTCACCATTCGTTCCCAGTCGGTTAAAAAGACGAAGTCGAGTGACTCGAAAACCCACGTTATCCAGATGTGCGGGGGCTTAGGTATCCAAAAGAGGAATAGGAATGCTTTCCCTGATGTGACCCTCCCTGAATCCGTTAGGAGTTGGCAATCGTCCTGGTTCTACTGCCAGGACGT